TTGTTTTTAGTTAGATGGTAGATGAAGGTTATGCATCTTCAAGAATTCCTGATACCAGTAAAAAAGTGGTGGCAAAACTTTTTTCAATACTCTCGCAAAGGAAATCCTGGTTAATTAGGGGAAAGATGCAGAATATGCAGTTTGCAAGAAAATTTTGGTTTTAAATGGCAAAATACAAGAGTTTCCATGCAAGCACATATTTCATACACCGTTTCTTAAGCCATGGTTGGTATTGCTCTTTTGCAGTTGTTGTCAAGAGGTTTGATTCAGAAATAATATAGAAAAAACAAAATGAAACATTGTACGTACTTAAGGAAAAAAGTAAAATTGGAGTACATGTTGTAGGAAAATACTAAAAAAATATTAATAGAGTTGATAGTTTAAAAAAAATAATTTATTTGAAATATTTTTAAAAATTATAAGACTAAAATGAATTAAAATAAAATAGAAGAACGAAATTGAATTCAACTCTTAAATTGAAAGACAAAATATTACTTTTTTCTAATTTATCTAATTTATTCTATAAATAAGCTTTTAAAATTATTTAATGAATAAAAAAATTTAAAAATAAATTTAAATTTTTAAATTTAAGTTATAAAAAAATTCAACTATCATATAATTTATTTGAAGTTAATTATTGATATTTTTTTAATTTTTATCTTTAAATTTTTAAACAATTGACACTCATACAAAATAACATTAATCCTTCACTTTTAATTATTTAATATATTTTAACTAATTATATAATTAATTTTATCAAATATTTTTATTTTATTAAATAATTATAAATTATTAACTTTCAATTAATTTATCAGCTATAAAGTAATTTAATTAAATAAACTTTAAACTTTCACAGATTTCTTATCCATCCATGCGAATGTGATGAACTTGCACGATCTAGGTGATTTTAAAAACAATTATGATTTATAAGCATAACAATCCAATAGTGTTAACATTCATTTAATGCTTTTTGTTTTTATTCTATCTTTATCTCCCTTTTTATATTATACCACTTGTATTCTTTTTTCTTTTTTCTCTTCTTATTTCTCCGTTAGTGGATATACTTAAAAGAGGTGTCCAAATAACATCTTCCTTTCAAGAACGTGCTTCATCCCCTTGGTTGAAAATATTGGAAGGGGGGCTACCAACCCAAAAGCAAAAGAGGTAACTAAAGCATCCCCCATGCAAATCTCTTTTTAGCTATAGGTCTTATCATTGTTGATTTTTTACTTTTTTTCCTGCATCAAAATATCGTGTTGGTCCTTCACTACTTTTTTTTCTCTTTAATGAATACCTTCCTTCCTTCTGGACTTTATATCTCCTTCCTGTTCACATGGTTTGCTTATCTCTTTTTACCACAATTTCTAGCAATCATTGTAACCCCCCCCCCCCCCCCAATAATAATAATAAGTCACAATGTCTATGCCTTATGAAATTTGTTTCTTGTTTAATTGTGCTACAGACGCCACTACATTATTCAGACGGTCACTTTGTTTAAGTAGTTATCAGTAATCGATAACCAACGTTTTTAATTGAGTAATGTTTTTACACATTTTTTAGAGTTCTTGTTTTTAAAGTTTTTCTATCACATTATTTATCTTATTCTATGCTAATTAAATAATGTTGTGGGGATCGATCGCAATAAGTAAAAACATGCCCATATATATTTGACGTTGGAACTCTACTGCACCATTCCCCACTTCACCAAAACGGTTGCCCATGGTCTATGGCCCATGTGCTTGGGCATTTTGTTTAATGGATGTTGCAGCTTTTATAATTGTCGTTTACAAATAATGTCTAGGAATATTCCTCACTTTATTAAATAGTATTTAAAATCTGCAAATCAAAATTACGTATGCGAAATGCCTAACTTTTTAACATACCAGGTTCTTTTTATCTTAGTATTAGTAGCTAGAGCAACCATGCAGAGATGCTTACAGGTTATTTGTCACTGTGCAGAATCTCAACTACCAGTTTGTTCCCATTCCTGGTTAGATCCATATAAATAGTTTCTTTACAGAAGTTTCTATAAATAGTAACAAGTTTAAACTCGCTAGATCATAAAATAAAACATTTACGAAAAACAAATTAATTAAGATAACAACGGTAAATCAGTACTGCATGAATAGTTAATTTTACACATGTAATTCAATAGTATGAATAATATTTTATTAGAAAAACAAAATACCGAGTAAGTGCGCCGTACTAAAAATTGAATAATTTGCTTTTGTTTTGGCTTAGATATGTTTCGCACATTTTTTAAAGCTTTTTTTATTTAATCTTTCTATTTTCTTTATTTTGCTCTTTAATTATTCTAAAAATTTAATATTTTGTGTGATTATTAAATGATAGTGTGGCTAATTAAAGGTCTAATATGTGTTCACTTTTTTTGTGGGATTACACCGATGAAAAAAACTAAAACTAAAAACTCACAAGAATGTAAAAAAAATTAAACACAATAAAAAATTAAAAGAACAAAAAAGAGTAAAAGTACAAAAATTAAAAATGTATTTAAGCCAATTATTTTTGAGCTTGTATTTCTTTGACTTTTAGAAGCAACGTTTAATCTTTAAAAAAATATTTATTTCATCTACTCCCATTCACATAAAGCTCCTGATGTCTCGACTAGCATATCGATAATTGCCTTAATAAAAAACTTGGTTTACGAGTTAAAAAATGGAGTCGTTTCCCTCACCTAGTCTATGGTTATATGAGGGTAGCGTATGAATAACGGGTTTAATTGTAATCAAGGTCACAACCAATTTAGGTAGGAATCATATAGTGGTCTATCAATTTGAGTTGTCAATAATCGTGCCTTAGAACTAGGGGATTGACAGGTCAATGAAATAAAAAGCTAGAATCGTGCTCTAGTGTAGTAGTGTAGTTAAGTAAGCCAATGTTGAGCCATCCACGACGAGCTCAAGCCCTGTTGTTACTGTTGAATTCGTAGAAAAGCAATATAAATCTGATTACATTTTAAATTTTTATTTTTATTTTAAAATTTCGATTTACTTTAAAATTTATTTTAGTTAAAATTTATTTTAAATTCAATATTTTACATTAAAATAATTTAAATCTAATTTTTGAAGCAAAATTTTATAATTTTATTTTTAAAGTAAAACTAATTTGTTATACTGTACTATTGCATTAAATTAGTATCTTTTCTTAAAATTAAAGTAATATTTATTAATTATATTATACCTTATAGATTTTTTATAAAATTATTATTATTATTTTTAATAAATAAAGTTAATGATAAAAGTTTAAATCAAAACCTATATTAATGATATTAAATAATAATAAAATATTAATTTTATATTTTAAAAAATACAAAAATTGAATATAATAAAAAATAATAAATTTACAAATGTTTATTATATTTTTAATATGATAATTAAATTAAAAAATATTATTTTTAAATATTTAATCTTAATTATAAAAATTAAAATTAATAAAAAAGTATTAGTCATAAAATATAATCATTAAATTCTTTTGTCAATAATATGATAGAAGTCTTAATAAGTCAGGACATAAAATGAAATATTTTTATGCACAATTTAAATTTAATGAATAAAAGAAAATTTAATTTTAAAAAATGAATTTAAAACACTAATTCGGTTGAAAGAACTCTGGACCAAAAACTAATTTAATGTGCATTCAAATTTTTAAAATGAGTTTAAAATTAGAAATTAGTTATAGATTGAATTTTTCGCTTAACAGCCATTAAGTTTGATGTTCTGAGCATGGTTCAGAGTTCAGAAAAATGGATCAAACTCGGGTCATATCGGAACTGGGTAAATGGCTTTATGTCTATTGAAAAATATTAAATCAATTAATAAGAAAGGGAAAGAAAGAAAAAATAACAAAAAAAAAAAAGGTTTTCAACATAAAACAACGAAATAAAATAATTGGTGTTATTCTTTTCCAACTTTCTTCCCCGTCTCCTGTGATGATTCTAGTAACCTACAGATTCCCCTAGCTCAGACTTTGGCTTAATCTCTCGACAATTGCCTGTCTCGTATACGTCCCTTCATTTCCATATAAGCACATTTAATACGTGCTTAAGGTAACATACGTGGGTATATATCTTGCAACTGAAAAAATATCAGGCATGCTGTGCTGTTTAGTAAAACATTATCCACATCCTCTGTCCTGGCTAAAGTATAATGAACTTTGTCAACCATTTTATCAATTCATATATTAATTTCAGAAATGCGGTTAGTGATTTTGTTTTCTTCAACATAGTGGCAGATGGATAAAATAGACCTAATAAAAATAGTTAATTAGTTTAATGATAACATGATACTTCTCATTAATCATACGCGTAGAGTAGTAGTGTACTATTTTTACCAACAGTGGTGTGTGGCATGATGGCCGATAACCAAATCCAGCCACTTGCGTTTAAATAAAACTCGAAGAATTCAATATAGAATTTTAAAACGGATTAATTGGACGTCACTTATCCTTAGTGCTACCCGGAGCTTTCACCATTATGTCATGAATCACTGAACAACCAGCTCTTTGCAGGGGTGCACACAAGCCTATGGCACTGTGGCAGTGAGCTATGTATAACACCTGCTACCTCCGCCTTGGCTAAGGAAAGTGGATCAACGTCAGCAATCTTCCCAATCATTGGACACTCTTACACTCACCTAATCAGGGAATTCGACACGTGTCAAGCGTGGCCCCAGCTGAAAATTTACCTTCATGACTAAGCTTAAAATCCAATCTTTTTCAGGGACCCACTCGCTGATGTCACCATAAAAAAGTGAATATGACCCTTAATTAACCCCACCACCATTAGTGCCGAATGACTCAAAAGCCAAGCCATGTACGAGTATAGTTTACCCCAACAGAAGTTTCACCAAAATGCCCCTCCCAAATGCGGTTAATTGCACAGGAGTACCCCTGCAAAACCCGTCAATAAATATGACGCCCCTAAGCTGCGTTTCTTCCCTTTCTCCCTCCTTTCTTCCACCCGTCTCTAGTTATCAGCAACCATGCTCTCTGCTCTTTCATCTTCCGACCCTTTGCTTTTAAACCCATTCTCGGCGTTGGACGGTGGTTTCACGCCGTGGGACTGCCCTGACTTTTTTACATTCGAACCCACCAGCCCCAACCCCGTTACTTCTAGTTCAGGTTCGGACGACCCAAACCAAACCCATGCCGAAGAAAAACCAGCCTCAGAGGAGTCGAACCGCGTTGCATCGGTTATGGAGGAGCGAAAACGCAGGCGAATGATATCGAACCGGGAATCGGCACGAAGGTCGCGCATGCGTAAGCAGAGGCACCTAGAGAACTTACGGAACCAGGTGAACCTTTTTAGGATTGAAAACCGGGATCTGAACAACGGGTTGCAGTTCCTCCTTCACTGCTGTAACCGCGTACGAACCGAAAACGATTGGCTCCGGAACGAGCGAACCATGCTCCGCCAAAAATTGTCCGAAATAAATCAAATGTTGGTTTTCCAACAATTGCAACCCTTCTCCTCTGCATGGCCATGCAATATTATCACACCGGAATAAACTTTTGATCACCATTAACCACGTAAACTAATCACAATGCGGCCTCCGTTAAATATAGTAAAGAAATAAAATAACTTATCTGTGTAAATTATTAAGAGTAGTAGTTAAAGGTGATGTAGGGTGGGGGTACCGGTGCTTTTTTGGGGAAAACGGTAACGGTTTTGGAAAATATATCCTTGTTATTTTTTTCAAAACCAGAAGGGTTAATATCGATTATAGTTATTATTATGTAAAGTATAACCTAGTGTTTCGCTTATTCTAGTTTGAATGTTTCCGTTCTTCGGTTGTTTCTTTCTTGCTCAAATATTGATTCCCTTCCTCAAACTACAATTTCGTTATTCGTCGTGCAGCCACGCAACGCAAGTTCAAGTTTGTGCTGCAGAGTCCTCCAAATATTGTTTCTGCGAATCAAAATGACAGCTAACACAAGAATAAAGAGAGAGAGAGAGAGAGAGAGAGAATCCCTGACATAGTATTGACTTGGAGTCCAATGTCGTAAAAATACGCACACTTACATCAAAACAACGAATGATGATCTTGTGTTCCCTACACGGACGAGAACTTCTAATAAAATATATGTAATTTCAATTGTTTACGAGCAACACTTTTTTTTATAGCATAATGCATTTGTAGATGTTGTTATTAGTTGGCATGCAATCAGTAGAAGCCAAAATTACTTGTCTAGCGTTCGAGCAAATGGTCAATTTAATTGAACGTTTCCTTAATGTCCAAATGCGCTCTCTCCTGTTAACCTTTCTATTAAAGCAAACGTGTATAAAAATGGGTTTAATATTATGATTGAAACAATGGTTTTTTTTAATATATATAAAATTTAATTGAAAGTGAAGATTAGAATCCAAATATTTTTAAATTACGGAAATAAGTCTATACTATTCATGGACAACAAATACGTCACCGCCTTTAATCAAGCAAAAAGTTAAAACTTCATCACTCTTTATCTTTAATAGAAGGTGATTGGTTTTGGATTAAGAGCAATTAAGATAGAGACAACTAATAATATAAAGTGATACATGGCTTTAAGCTCATTTTTTTAAAAAAACAATTTGAAACAAAGGGGGTCATAGACTAATAATATTTTTTTTTTTATAATCAGAGACGTAATTAATCCAATCACTAATCAATAAACAAAGAGCATCCGTACACCTAATTAGATTATCTATCGAGAAATTGCATTATATATTATTAATTATACTTATAATCATATTTTATTTCTCTTCCACTACTTTAGATTCAAACAACACCTGCATTCAGTATGAGTGCAAAATGAATATTCTGAGGTATATTTTGTTGGAGTGAGTGTCTGGACGTCCTCAATGAAATTTATTTAGACACAACTGCTGCAATTAGATATTTGCTTTAACCGTAGAATCGTTCTATTTATTAAAAAAATAACTATAATATAAATTAAAGTATAAGAAATAAAAAATAAATATTTAAATATATTAATTATTAAATATTTTTATATCCTTATTTATTGTCAAATTTATATCAATTAGATACCCACTTATTACTTATATAAGTGGATAAATATGTTCATTTAATATATGAGTTCATTTATTATTATAAATATTTTTTAAATATACTATAAACTTATGACATATAATTAATTTTTATTAGTCTTGATAAATAATTTATTTATTTAGTATAAAAAGATCAGAAAGAGTCAATTTTAAGAAAAATTACAAGACAAAAAAAATGGGCTGAAACTACATTCTAAATATATATATTTATATATGTTTTCTTTTAAAAGAAAATCTACATAAGTAATTAACTCAAGCACTTTGCCACTGCCATAATTTTATGCTTTAAAATAATAATTGATCTACATTTAAAAGAATAATTTACTTAATCAATATAAAAATAATAACGATGATACAAGACCAAAAATTTGGTGAGGCTAAACAGGATATAAATATTGAACGATACTTTATAAGCCACAAAATTATTACGGTTGATTATAACCTTCTGAATATTGTGGTGATCCCTTCGTTGGGTTCCGCTCTCTGATGAAAAATCCATCTTTATTAATTATTTTGAAAAATACAATATAAAAAATAGGTTTTTTTTATTAATTACTTTGTTAAATATAACGTCTACCCAATTCCAATACTAATATTTATTAAAAAAAAAACTAATAAAAATTATAGCTCATGATCCCACTGACTGGATTGCAGATGCTTAAAATTTATGGTAATAAAATTATTCTTATATTAACATATAATACGTTTAGAGGGTGAAATATGTTTAAGATACAACGGTATAAATTTTACTTTAAGGTTTTACATACTCTATAAGCATGATTATATTAAGTCGTAAAATATGATGCGAATAAGTCCACTAAATATTTATTCGAATTTTTCGATATATATTGGCATAAGCAAAAATTCGATATATATATATACATATATTCATACTTTTACTCCAGTTTTTTTTTCTTCTTTTTGTTGTCACTGAGCCCGTTATTTAGAAATATATAATCGACAATAATTAAAGCCAACCTCTACATCATTTACCATTAAAATGAACCCACAGATTTCTTATTTCAACGATCAATTTTAAATGTAAACCCCGATTATGGAAACATCTTCCTTCAATTTGATTTGGTTAAGTCACGATCAGTTGGAGTTAGGTATGGGTTACCCTGATTTCAAATCGTCAATTCATCATTCTCCCAATAAATAATCCAAGCATGCGAGGGTCTTAATCTTTGTCTTTGCTTGGTTACGTGCTCTCCTTCTTCACTTCCAAATTACATGGTGCCCTAGCTGGAAACTTGTCTTTCAACAAAGCAAATGAGAAAAGTAACCTAGAACTTTAACAAAGAGAGATTATATGAGTAGTATACTTTAATTTTTGAAATCTTAAAAACCTTTCGTAAGGATCAATTTATAAAAAGTATTTTCTATGGTTATTTTTCCCTTTAAAAATTTAAAGTGAATGTTATTTTACAAAATCAATAATTAACAAGGAATATTTTCAATTTTAAGAATTAAGGGGTATGATTCATATACAATTTCATAGACTAACTTAAATGTTTAATATTCTAACAAATCTTTGATGATGCCAATATTAATTATTTTAACAAGGATTTTAAATATAATGTACATTTGATGGAGATACGAAAGCTTTTATTTAAGAAATATAATACAAAAAACCTTCTTCTTTAGCAAATGGAATTAATATTTCTTTACCTTGAGACGCCGTTTATGTCCTCTCTCTTTTTCTTTTTTTTTGTTACATGTTTATATAATTTCATACAAGTAGAGACCGAGGAAAACATTTTCTTTAGTACTAGATCTCATAAATTAAAATTTAATTCATCTATTACACAATATTTAAAAATAGTATTATTTTATAATGTAATAAAGTAATATTAAATTTTTTTATAGTTTTTTGTTTTCTTGATAAAACCAAATTAAAAAGTATTTTATTTTCGTTAAATGAGTTAAAACAGGAAAAATGATAACTCTTCTCTCTCTTTTTTTTAATTATATTTCTTTTTTTCAACGATACTAAACAGACCTGAAAGCCACTTATATTTTATTGTGTATCTTTAAGTTTATCCGATTAAAAATAGATTTGGTTTTATTGAAGTTTTTAAAAAAGTCATTTAAGTTTATTTATTTTTATTCTGTTAATTTTTTTTTACTTAAAACCCTTATTTTATAAAATATTTTAAAAAATTAATCAATTTTTATTGAAAAATTACCTAGTCAAAATATTTAAAAAAATCTCAAAATCTTTCTTCTTTAATCTGTAATTTCACATCTTATAAAATTCTTCAAATTTTATTAAGGTTTCACTAATTTTCTTATTTCTAAACTTTTAAAATTATTCCACAATCTAATTTCATAATAAATTTCCAAAATTTTAATAAAAAATAAAAAATACAACTTTTAATTAAAAATCAAACAAAAATAATCAAGTCCATACAGTAAAATATATATATATTTTAAGTCTAAACCGCATGTATCTTTTACTATAAACAATTTTTTTTAGTCATATAAAATTACAGATAAAGTTCTTTACGAGTATTTAAAAAGGACTTATTTAAATTAAAAGCAAATTAAAATCATACATAACTTAAATTTAAAACAATACAATTAAACCAAAATACTTTTAACCAAGAAACTCTGTTGAAAAGTCAGTAATTTACCTTGTTTTTTTGGCTTAAAACTACTCTGAAAGTTAGTACTTCACTTTGTCATTACGTAGGACTAGCATTGAGCACAGTAACGGTGTTTATTAATAAACACTAATATATCGCTTTCTCCATCGATCGTGGCATGAAGTGTCTGTGGGATCACGAAGCGTATATTGAATTATTGAGGGACACCAACTTCCAGTATTATATTAGGGCTATAAATCAGTTTGGCAAAAATAAAATAACCATGAAGTAGCACAGAATCTATATAAAAGCTTTTCTTTTCTTTTTTTTCGAACTGGCTTATATTTTATTTCTATATAAAAGCTTTCGTTGAGCGTGACTAAAAGGGTCACAACACGCCGGTGCTATGCTTTATTAAAACATAAAGAACTTAGTAATGAATGAAGAATAAACATTAAATAACTAATATATTTAACAAGCATTCCATACATAGATATATACGATATGGTTATGACACACTATATTAATATGTCAAGGCAGCAAATTCTAAAATTTTATAAAATATGATGAAGTTGCAAGATACATACGCATAAGATAAATAATACTAACATAAATATATAAATCTTATATCAAAATAAAAAAACATTATTATTTTTTCAAATAAAAAATTATTTTATTTTGTGGTGTCTCTTTTTTATTGGTATAATAAAAATTTAAGAAATTAAACATATAATATAAAATTATTCCACAATATAAGAGAATTTGATGCAATATCTATTAAATGAAGATACATAATTTAGCAAAAAAACAAATGAAGATATGTTATTTATTTTTTATACCAATCACTCAACTAATAATAAGTGAATTTTTTAATAGTTAAACATAATTAAAGTGAGTTTTGTCTTTTATAATATATATATATATATATATATATATATATATGTTTAAATATGTTTTGACTACCTCCAAATAAGGCTAAATTCAAAAAACTACCTCAGAAATTTTTTTTTTCATTTTAATGCCTAACTAATTTTTTTTTTCAAATTTATATCTGACGTTAAACTCCGTCAATTAAATAGTGACGTGGCTAACAGTTTGTCATGTCACCGTCAATCTCTCTCATCCACCTTACTCTAAATCACCACATCAGATTCCACATCATCATTTTTGAATTTACAAAAAGAAAAAACTAAAAAAATGGAATAACCTCTTCTTCTAACCACCACCGCGGTTACCCTCATTGACTCATAGTCTATGGACAACTGTAGCGGCAGCAGTGCCGCCGCGACCACTTACTCTGAAAACCCTGCCCCCCACAACGGCCTCACAGTTCTCCCCCAGACTCCAACCCTTCACCCCCACCACTTCTACAAAATTAATTTTTCAGTGTTCATAGAGTAAACCCACTTTTGATTTTAATTTTTGGATAAAACTGAAGATGTCATTCTCAAAATTAAGGTATGCCCTCTCCCTCACCCTTATCAAGTTTTTCCCTTTTCCTCGTTATTCTGCGAAGCTTCACACACAGAGAGAAATTGCACAAAATAGAGGAACTAAAAATGGGTCCAGTAAATGTCATCCACCCACAATCTGCAACCATTGCAATTCGAACTCCCCATTTGGATTAAAACAACAAAAACAATCAGATTTCAAAAAAGGTGCAAACTTTACTAGTCCAAAAAAAGCTGATTTCAAAAAAGGTGCAAACTTTACTAGTTCAGAGGAAGCTGAAGCACTGTGGAGTATAAAGCATGATGCTTGAACCCAGAATGCAGGAACAAAAGACACAACCCAAATCCACTAACTATAGAAGCTATTATTATAATCTAACCAAACAAAAAGTTAAAATTGAGAGTGGTGTTATTGTTTTCAAGGGTTTGCACCATATTCAATAACGAGAGTTAATTCTTAGAGGCCACTATAGTACTCGATTTGTGTTAAAATTCCACTGCTGCATTGCTGTTGTTACCATTGTTTTATTTGGGTTCATGTATTTAAAATAAGTACATAAAAGAATTTGTTGTTGTCGATGTCCAAGAATTTGCTGCAAGAAAACTTGTCATTGAAACTTGTGGGTGTTTCAGTAATGGATGGTGAAAGAGTGTTTCAGTAATGGACGGTGAAATAATGAAGTTTTATTTTTTATCTTCACACCCAAAAGGCGAAACGATGAACTGTTGTTGTTGATTATTGTCATTTGAAAAGGTGAAGAAGATTATGTTACCGGCAAGATTCTGATGTGGTGATTTAACTGTGAGGTAGATGAGAGAGATCAATGGTGACGTGGAAAATTGTTAGTCATGTCACTATTTAACTGACGGAGGTTAAAGTCAAGTATAAAATTGAAAAAAAAAAAGTTAGGCATTAAAATGAAAAAAAAATTCTAAGGTAGTTTTTTGAATTTATCCCTATTTGGAAGTAGTCAAAACATATTTAAACCATATATATATATATATATATATATATATATATATATATATATATATATGTTTAGGAATTAAATCTTAGCCAATACACTTAACCGAACCATATATCAATTAATGACTAAACGGACTTATATTAATTGATACAATAATCATTTATGCATGTCAATATTTCATAGTTCTCTCCCTATATAGTGATGATATAATTTTGGTTTAATCAAATTAAATTATTAGTATAGATATTCTAGATTTACATCATACAATAATTAAATCAATAGTAGCAATCTTAACATCTAATTTCATCTTCATCGATATCATTATTTAAGATTATTTTAAAATAGTAAATTTTTATTTAAAATAAATTATTTATTATCTTTAGTATTTTTATATAATAAATATTTTTAATTGTTTAAAATTAATCTTAAGAGCTGGTAATGATATTTTTCTAAAAAGAAAAATTATTAAGAAAGAGAAAAAACAATGATGAAAGTTCTGGCGTCTGAATACATAATGCGCTCTGCCGTTGCAAATAGTACCTTAATCACTACGATTTGTCTTATTAATCTCGTATTCTCCCCTTTCCTCAAATTGAGGAACTTGCTTTAGTGATCCTGAGCGAGATACTATATGTCCTCAAACATGGTTAATAAGAGATTTGAAAGTAACGGCAACCAGCAAAGAACATGATTAGTTCGCTTCTTTATATAAAGCCCTCCGATAATCTAATCCAATTAACTTGTTAACTTTTATCCATGATTGATGAAGGCAAACCTACCCACTGTTGTCTCAATATTTTTTGCATAGCTTTTACCGTTCAATAGCTGTTGAAGCTAAAGCTATAGGTGGCCAAAACTGAAGATTGCCTATATAAAATTACATATAAATAGTCGAGGTTCAATTATTCAATGCACCTCCGAGTGCTTAAAAGCCATGTTTCATTCTACTTTTTCAGTTTTTAACTTCAACTATAATACTAAAAAATCATTAATAAAAAAATAGTCAAATAAATGATTTTATTTATAATGCAGAATATTTAATTAATTTTCTTTTTTTTGTAACAATCTTAAAAATTATAAAAAGGGAATTTCATCCCGTGAATGATGGGAATATTAAACGAACCAGAGAGCATGGACCTCCTTTGATTTTAAATATTAATAAGAAGAAGACGATTGTCATTAGTAATTGAAAGAGTGTGTGTTAATATTTATTTTAAAAAATATTCTTTATCTATGACCGTTTGATAAGAAGTATTGAGTATGCCCTATTAAGTATTGAATTATTATTTTTTTATATAATAAATGTTCCGTTTTTTAATTACTATTTTTTTATATTGGACTTCTTAAGATATAATCTATAAAAATAATATTAAAGAAAATAGAATAAACTGTTATGACTTCAAGCCTTGAATTTGAAATCGATAATTGCCAGAAGAGGAAAAGGGAATAAAAATGGTCTAAGATTATCTTATATCTTTAATTGAATAATTGACATCCAGTTCAAATTCACATGGGAAGCCTCTTTTAAATTACGAATCAAAATAAAAATTATAATGTGTTTGAATTAAGTTCATTTCACTCAAAGCATCTTATAATTTAGCACATATTACATATATTGGAAGGATTGAATTTTTCTTAAAAATAAAATAAAACAACGCATGCCTTAAAAATATACTTAAATTTCGAATCAATATAAAGAATAATGGTTTTTTAAAACTAACATCGCACATGTTAATAATTTTTTATTAAAATTTATAAAATTAATGTAATTCAATATTTTAATGTTATTAAATATTAAATTTTTAACAAAAATATTTATTAATTTTTCACTACGTGCAATATAACGCATATTATAAAAAAATAAAATATTAAAGGCACATAAAAAGGCAAGGGTCACGGGTGAGGTGCGATTATAAATATGGCTAGTCAAGAACATGGGCTATTTACCAAAAATTAAAGAGAACATGGGCTGAATAATATGTTCAGAAAACCAAAAGGTATGGGCCGTAAGAGCCCAACACTCGTGAGCCAGACAAATCATTTGGAATTAGGGTTTTTAATTATCCTGTACGGTAATTCATCTCTTGCGCGACGGTCACTCTGTATCTTGCCGCAGTGTCTGTCTTATTTCTTGCAAATCTTTGATCAATTCTTCGTTTCTGTTGCGCACATCTATTTATCTGTTTGCAATTTGAACTTCGGTTCTTCGAATGAAGATCTTATTTTATGCTTCTTCTTTTTTTTCATAGACCGGCTATGATGACCCAGAACATTTCTCGATTCTGATAAGGACCAAAGCAAATGTATTGCTCTTTGATGACAGTGTTTGTGCGTGTCTGAGCCTTCCCTTTCCTTTGTAGCTTATATATATTTGTTAGAACTCACAGTAGTTCTCAGACAAATGATACCTGTTGCATTTTTATCTGTATTTTTCTTTTTTAAGTTGCGTATTTCTTTGATATAGATTCAACCAGCTAATACTTATTCTGATTTCTTATCAGCAATCAGTTGACTCATGCCAGTTTAGGAGTAACATTAAATCTGAAATGGTTGATTTCGGCGACAGGTTGGCATCAGTTGACTCATATTTTGCAAAGGATTTAGACCTAGTGTCTTGCTCGCATGATTTGCTGTCATTCCTTTGTTAAGTATATCTTGGTTCAATGGTTTGAATAAATCAATTTCATTGAAAGTTAGTAACCATTTGCAATTCAAACTAACTAGGAGATATCAGAATCAATGTCCTTTTACCTTGACCATGCATAGAATTCGGATCTCCATACTATAACGTATCTGAAGATGTTTCTTTGTTAATTACCTTTGTCTAGTGTTGCTATGGTCATGTTCTTGTCTTCATGATTGATTCTTGTTGACTCTTTTTGTCTGGCTATGTTTTACAACGGATTGTCTTTATGCGGATATCCTGACTGCAAGGTAACGTGGATAGCAAATTAAATATAACCCAACTTGGCCTCACCTTCAAGTAAAAGCATATATTAATCAATTTGTATTTCTTATTGGCATATAATGTTTTGTACCTATGCTATGGTTTACGCCTTATGTTCTTCAACACAACCTGTGTAAGCCTAACCATTGACTTTGCAAAGTATAGTGTCGATATATTCCAGTGTTTGTACATTACAATCTTACAATTGATATTACAGACAAAGATGTTTCGATATTTGATGCTCTGCAGAAAACTGCCGAGAGCTAAACGATTGAAGCCACTCTAGATGGTAGTGTTGCAACATGTTTGATATATTAATCTGACATTATAACATTTAATACAACTTGGCATTTTTTAGCGATCTTTAGCTTCTTATAGTGTCAAAGCAATGGATGGTACAGTTTTTACAAGACATGCAGCGCGGAATGTTAGGCTCTATGTCACCAAAGCAAATTCTTTAGGTCAGAAGATTGGTTTCTTTGCGTTACAGTTGGGTTCTTCCCTGTGGATGAGAGATCTTTTCTTCTTCTCCACCCGTTACGGCCTAAACAAAAGAAGGGTAGCATTTGTATCAATTTCTTTCCAAACCAGCTTCTTTTACATTTCCGATGATAAATATTCATTTATGAAGTTAGAAGGGCAAACGTTTACAAAATATGAGTAATAGCCAAAATTAGTCTCAATGAAAAGAATAAACACACCATAAGAGAGCACAAAAGATATGGAAGATTAAGATGTATCAATCTTCTCTATTGAAAATAGGATGTGCTAATTCTATTCCAAATAACGCTTCTTCCCTGCAATAGGTCCTTTTTTTTTTCCTGACGCTTCAATAACTTTGCACGATAAATTTAAAGGTCTTAATGTTCTACAAGGTCAAAGCATACCGATGTCATACATCTCCTTTGAAGTTAAGAGTATCTTGATTTTGCCATGGTCAGAAACTTTGACTTCCTACTTTTCGTCTCACACTTCATTAAGCCCAATTTAGGAGTGTCTATAGGAAGGTAGGAACAACTCAAGGGGAATACATTCAATTCTATCATAATTTTGCATTATGTATATGATCTGTGCCAAATTTATTAAAAAGCAGAATTAATAGAAGCGTGAAAAAAAATTGAAGATGATTACCGGTGAAAGATTGGAGAAGACTGCCACTGAAAGATATTAAAGACCGAAGTTCCACTAGAAGGAATAGAGCGACAAAAAGAGGGATTGAAATACCACAAAAGATAAGAAAACAACACAGAAGAGAAGTAAGGGTGCTCTTGCATCCTTGGTTGAGAGTCTGCTTCCACTTACTACTAATAAGTCCCTAATATTAGTTCCATTGTTTAGAAAAGGGTACAGGCATTGAACCGTTTAGTTGTTTTTAATCAAAGAGATGGAGATAATACGAATTTGATTATAATGACAGTTTTAAGCTAAATTGACATTACAATTATATTGTTTAATTAGCAATAGCAAATATCACTAATTCTACAAATAAAAGAGAAATATCTTTAATGTTCATTTTTCAGAAAATGACAGCAAATAGATTATTAATAAGGGAATTAGCAATCAATTGAATCAAAGCCAAGAATGCTAAAAAAAGTAAATCAAGATACGCTTCCCCATCGCCCCCACATAATAAAGGATGGTGAAACGTTAAGAAAGCAAAGTTTGCTCAGGCAGTAGATGAGCTACTTTACTAGTCATGCCACATAATTTTGAGGAAAACTTTTAATCGGTCACTAATATATGGTGAGTGGATATACTCATCATTACCACAACAAAAAAGAGGGTCTCTTTGTCTTTCTTAACACTCCTCCTAGTCTTGTTCTGCGTCTTTCTTTCACTGCCAAACTTCCTTGCCAATCTTTTTTTTCCAAACCAAATCATGTGCTCTAGAATTTCTGTCTCCATGAACTTCGTCACGCAAATTTGCATGCAAACTAATGATGATACTGATCAAAGGGAATCTAAATTTTAAACTTTCTTATGGGAAGTCCCTGATAAAGTGCACACTCTATATGAGATTGAAATAAATAGTGGGTGAGTTGCTTATCAAGTGGGGTCACAAAGAAATACGACCTGGTTTACCTTATACATTGTTGGGAAAGGAAGAAGGTATTGTTTAAACCTGATGCCTTTCTTAATTGTTTTAGTACAATTATGTTACATGCATGCACGCCAAGTTCTTACCTCAGTTATAGTCTGTCATTAACATGTTTTGTTAACATACCAATAATTGATTACCAATTATGTGGTGAGTGATTACTAGTTCGTTAGCTAAAACAATACATGTTAACAAAAAATTATCTATCATTAACCAGTGTGAAATTGGTATAAGCGTTTAGTTGGGAATTCAAGAATCATTTTCGGGTGGAATACAATTTTACAACATTACACATGCAGATAGATATCTGGAAATAGACCAATATATTGGTACAAATTAAAATGATTTTTCTCTTGTTAGTTTCCCAAATTGTAATCGTGATAAACTAGCTGCATAGATTACTTCTAAGGCCAAAAGGAAAAGGAAAAAAAGAAGAAGCTTTAATAGAACTAGAACTTCGCATACGTTCTTTCCTGTTTTTTGCCGCTGTTTTGATTCATATGGTGTTCTCGTACATGTGGACCTCGAAGGATAATGTAGTTTAGCTGCTCCAGTACTTTACTGTCTGTTGTGGTATTAAACAATTAGCTAGATGTCTTGTAAAGCTTTGATTGTAATATAGTAATTATAAAAGTTAATGTATGTACCACATAAAAAGTATGCTTGATAAGGGACTTTCACTTAATCATTCCTAGAATATCTGTACTTAAAGGTTTGCCATACATAGGCTTCTGCAGTGTTCTTCTAACATTCTCTCTCTTCAAAGTGATAAGATGCCTCTTAATAGCCGCCGGATCAGGGCTTTCTAGAGCAATTGACTCACCAAAATGCTTAGGTAATAACATATGAATATAGTTTTGACGTTAATGGTACTTTAAGTGTTTTTTTATTGGATTTGGACCACACCACAGGGAGTGCACATTTCCCTCTTTCTTATTGATTAAATTCATCCATCCTGTGTTTCATTGGGATACCAATGAGGGACCCATGTTGGGATGTCCAATGAATATGAGAAGTGCTTTATATATGTTTAAAATATGAATCATGAAAAACCAAAACTGAAGGTGAAAAGGAATAAACGAGTCAATAAAATTGAAAGGAACGCTTGTGCAGGAATAATTAAGCTTGAGATTACCCACTTGGTAGTTTCCCCGTTGAGGTTTGGTGACTTCATCCCCTCTTTTTGTCTTAATGCGAGTATTGATTACAATCATGTCCTCCCAAAAGCACATAAAAAGGATCTTGAACTGTGTATTGCACGTCAATAGTTTGTACTCAATTGTTAAGCTCTATCTATTCTTCTTATAGATGCATGATCCATGGCATGGACAATCATGGCTACCCAAGTCACATAATCACGTTGGGTCAGATTTGATCTTCTCAGATATCTAACCCATTATATTTGTAGAACATCACTCATCCAGTTTTCACCATTATTACATGCATGAACGTCCCTGGAACCTACTTTAGAATGATCTTTTGAGTTCTTGAATGCAACAATGAGTAGCGTCACCAGAACTATCACGGCAAGACATAAACTTGTATTAATTTTCTAATCCCCTGATAATAGAAGTTCAATGAATAGTTAATCAAATTGGAATTTAACCAAATTATACACATTTAGAGTACTTAATAAGTTTTATTCATTTGAAGAGAGAGTGGAAGAAAATAAGTTGAAAGATAACAGAGGAAAGAAAAAGAAGAAAGAACAGAGTTAATACAATCTCCAAATAAAGATAAATATTATATAAGTTTTCTTTTTTATTTTTCTTAAAAATTAACTTTTAAATCAAGCTTTAAAAACTTATAGAAAAAATATTTAGTATTTACTTTTGCAGTAACTATGTTAAATATTGTCCGTTTTTAAAATTAGAAAAAGATATATTCATTTTTTAAAAAAAAAATCCACATTATAAGCTAGTTGAGCTCACTCGAGAGAACTAACGTTCAAGAAATATGGCTTCCACGTAAAAATGAACACGTTATTTTTACATTAATAAAACTAGTTAATAATGATTGAGGAAAAATATATTAAATATTGCAGTATTAATTGAATTCTAGAATTTATAAATATTGAATAATTGAAAGGTTAAAAAAGTGTAAAACAGTTAAGTAAAAGTAAACTCGTAATAGAGTGTTTAAACAGTAATTAATTAAAAAGTACAACTAGTGTGAATAATATCATAAACGAAAAGAAAAGAGAAAAAGGAAAGGGAAGGAGGGAGCGTAGAATAAAGCAAAAGGGAATGTCTTTCTCCAACACGGATCCCAATGGAAGGCGGGAAGTATGCGTAGCATTGCTTGCTGGAACACATTCTTTTTGTTTAGTTTAAAGGAACTTGCTTTGTTCCTTTTACAAATATATCCGCTGGACACTCCCATTTATACACACACCAGAACACTGCAACTTGCTCCATTTATTTACATAGATTTGACCTATTCACTTCTTCAACCAACAAAAAAAATACGTATATATGCAACAAGACAAATACTGGTTCTAAGTGGAGGAATGGTTGTTAGAGTGTAGATATGGTATGATTACTTGTTAGTCTATATGTTTCCCAATCATTGAGTTGTCTTGCCTTAAATTTGACTACAATTTCTGTTATAATTAGTGAAGTTAAGCAGTGATCATACCTAGTCTTCAAGATGAAGCCCATAGAAAATAGTGATGCCATTAACATTAACAGTCAAAATAATATGTTGGGTTTCTCCCTCTCTCCGCAAATGAATATAGGTGTTCCTTCACACCTTCATCAGACACAGCCTTTAATTGCTGCAGCTGAAACAGTTCCACCGAGCTTTTACCACCATACTATTCTTCATAACTACGGCCTTTACTATGGACTTGAAGGTGAACATGTTGGAATGTGTTCATCCTTGCTGCCTATCATGCCCCTTAAATCCAATGGCTCGCTCTATGGAATAGAAGCTTTGAGTAGATCACAAGCACAAGGTGAACTCCGACTCAAACCTTTGCTATATTCTTGTGTTTTGGTGAGTATTTTGTGTGTGACTTTACTGATTATTCAACTTCTTGAATACTTCTTTTTTTATCAATATTATGTGAACCAATGACAACTACTTCAGCAATGCATCTGAGCTTAGATGGTGTGTTTTACAACCAACTCTCATGCCATGGACCAAACAATCTGAATAACCAAATTCACGTACAAGAGAATATCAGCCAGCAGCAATACTCATATTTCCCCGCCATGAGAAACCATAATGTGATTTTAGAAGGGTCCAAGCAACGGCTCTCAAATATAGCTGAGGATGAAATTCCTGGTCTGAATAGCTGGGTCTCAAGGGACTTTCCTATTAGCCATGCACAGGAATCAAACATGACTGTTCCTTTGAAGGATAGTGGAGGCGAATCTGGATCCATTGGATCAATGACATATGGGGATTTACATTCATTGAGTTTGTCCGTGAGTCCTAGCCCACAATCAAGCTGTGTTACTAGTTCACCTACTCTCATTGATTCTGTTGCCATAAATACAAAGAAAAGGGGATCTGAAATGGTGGACCAGGATCAGAAGCGAATGGTTCATAGGAAATCCATAGATACCTTTGGACAAAGAACTTCTCAATATAGAGGTGTAACAAGGTTTGTTTTTCTCCTTTTTTCTAAACCTTACAACTACTACTGTCACATTATAAGTGTTCTTGAATAATGAGGCTATAATGATGTTCACTGATTTTGCTTAATAGGTTTCTACGTCTTCTGTTGTGCTCTTTGCTTAAGATTCTTATCGGGCTTCATGCACATCATCAGCATATCTTTAACCGTTTATCTCCTTTCCTGTTTTTTTTTTTTCCTTGAATTTCTAAAGAATGTTTGTTCATCAGACATAGGTGGACTGGTAGATATGAAGCTCATCTATGGGACAACAGCTGCAAGAAAGAGGGCCAAGGCAGGAAAGGAAGGCAAGGTAAGAAAGAGACTTATCTTCTCTTCACTTTAACTTTTTTTTCTTTTTGTGTGTATATTTTTGGTTAAACAAATCTGTTGAACTCATTTTGTTCTCCGTGGAAAAGCTCTTGATTTAGTGCTGATATCCCTTCTTTTTATCTTTGATTCGGGGATGATTCCACTCAAATGTACGATGAATCTCAGTTTATCTAGGTAAGGTTTTCCAACGCCAGGGTTATTATTATTAATATTTCATTTTATTTTCTACTTTGGTCTTGCTCGAATTCCTTTAGATCGTTCCATATTTTGGATTTATGGTGATACCAAAAGAGGAAAATAAATCCTTACACTAGTGATTCCAAAATTTTTATCATAGGGGGTTATGATATGGAAGAAAAGGCTGCAAGAGCTTATGATATGGCCGCACTCAAGTATTGGGGGCCCTCCACTCATACAAATTTCCCAGTAATGATGAACTTTTTTCTCATTTCTCTTCTGAGTTTCGATTCAATTTAAAGGGTTATTTCGGTAACAGAAACTGATGCATTTATGATGTTATAACAGTTGGAAAATTATCAAAACCAACTTGAGGAAATGATGAACATGACCAGACAAGAATATGTTGCTCATTTACGAAGGTAATAATATATTTGCTTCTGTATCATCTTGAAGTCAACAACTATGTTACTTGCTCACAATAACAAGATTAATTCGACATTGCCCAACCAGGAAAAGCAGCGGATTCTCAAGGGGGGCCTCCATATACAGAGGAGTGACAAGGTTTCATAGGCTAGCATTTACATGCTATTGCACTTTAATTTAATTGGATTTAAACACACAAAACAAATTCCTTTCCTCTAAACTTCGGTCGTTCTGATTAACTTGGTAGCAGACACCATCAACATGGAAGGTGGCAAGCTAGAATTGGGAGAGTGGCTGGAAACAAAGATCTATATCTCGGAACATTCAGTGAGTTCTATCAGATTCTGGATCTGTTTATTCATTTTTAAAATTATATTATTTATTCTTGCTTTACTGGTCACCACAGTTTTTATTCATGTACCAGGCAGAGACGGCGATTGTGCTTTATGACTTTAAAAAGCTAATCTTTGATTTGAACTCTTCTTTTCAGTCACATAACAATAAGGCTGATCATGAACCACTTTAATATTGTAGAGCACTGTTAGTCCCGAAGGCAGCTTTTATCAAAGCTGTTTGGTCAGAAGGATAAACCATCATACCTTCAATTAATCTTTTTAATTGTAAAATTCCAATATCATGATTTCGGTCAAAAAGAAAAAACTGATCCAGTATTTCTACTGAAAGCTAATTCTTACCCTTACTGAAATAAAATTTTAGGTACCCAAGAGGAAGCAGCTGAAGCCTACGACATTGCTGCTATAAAATTCCGAGGAGTTAATGCTGTTACTAACTTTGATATAACAAGATATGATGTGGATAAGATTATGGCAAGCAGTAACCTTCTTAGCAGTGAACAAGCTAAACGGAACAAAGAGATGAATGGTGGAACTAGGGACGAGGCTAAGGATAAAAAAAAAGCTTCTGCATGTAAAGACACTCAAGAAGCCATTCCAATGCAGAATCCACCAAGAATTGAGAGTTGTAGAACTCAGTCCTTCTCAATGGCTTTGAATAACATATTTCATCAAGAAGTAGAGGAATCGAGTAACATGGGAACACAATTGTCAAATCCTTCTTCGCTTGTGACAAGCTTGAGTAGCTCAAGAGAAGAGAGCCCAGATAAGACAAGCTTGCCAATGCTCTTTGGAATGCCTGCAACAATGTCCAAATTATTGACTAACGTGGATTCTTGGGATGCATCTTCCCATCTCAGGCCTGCGCTTTCTTTGCCTCAGATGCCAGTGTTTACTACTTGGACCGATGCATGATCTTTCATTCTTTCCTCTCTCTATCAAAATGGCATAAGCTTGTTTTGCATGCATGTTTACGAGAACTGGGTTGGTGAGCTAAGTTTCTAGCTAGTAAAATTGGGAGCTTGTGCGCAAGTTTAAACTTTTAACAGTTACAATAAACATTGTACTCGTACAATGATGCAAAGCTCCGAATTTTTTACATCCTCATACTGTCTCCAAGTTAGTAAAATCTCAAAAATTTTGGTTTACAGTTTTGGTATCCAAAAATTACTTTAAATCCTAATTAATTCTAATAAACTTAAATGATTTACTAGAAGTAAACGAAGGTTTCTTTATATTTTCTTTACTTCATACATAAAATATATTTAGATGAACCAAATTTTTTATTACTTTAACTAAAGGACAGATGAAAGGTCTAAAATGATTATATTAAAGGTTCTTAATTAAAGAAAAGAAGAAAAAATCATAGCACCATTGATAGAAACAGACAAGAACACCATAAAAGGGTTATGATTAAGAGGATAAGATTATCTTATGCAATATGGGGGAGACGCTATTTATCGTTAGTTTCAACTTTCAACTTTGTTGGTCGACGTAAGTACAGAAACCAGCTCAGTATGTATCTCAATCATGTTGGGGGGGGGGGAAGATCTCAGTTTATCATGTGGAATTTTATCCCAAGTACTGTGTGCATTTCTTATGACTTCAACAGTAATTATTAAATATTAATTTGAAGCATTTAATTAAAAAATTCAGTTGGGCGGGAGGAAAAAAATAAAATAACAAAAATAATATTTATAGTTACATAATATTTTTATTCTTTTTCATCTTTTTTTATTATCACTGTTTATTTTAAAAAATGCTATTGTTCTTTTTTTTTAACTTCTTACGCTTCAAAAATAAACTATACGAGTAACTATTATTCATAGAATAATTTAACGAATTATATTGAATTTTTCTGAAAGACTGTTCTTAAACACTACTTAACAAAACTCTTATTCTATTGTTTGTGCGTAGCACAATCCATCTCATCATGTCACTGCTATTGGTTTTTCACGTCCTTTGTCATCATTACTTATTCGTTTATTCTTATTGAACTTTGTCTAAAGGCAGCGGATATTCCTTACCCAATTCTATCAAAGGGGCGTTGGTGCAAAAATATATTCCCTTAATGACTTTATGTGATCTGATTAATGACTTAATGACCTGTATCGAGTTACAATTTGTCATTTGCTTTAAGGAAAGTCCTTTGTTGGAAACACCTTTTCAGATTTTTCTTTTATTTATATTGGCACTTTGTAATCCCAATGATGGTGCTCGATCATAAAAGCAATCCGGTCTCTGTCCAACGAGGCTTAGCTATCGTCAAGTGATCAAACGCACTCAACATGGCATGGTTACGTTCACACGTGGGCTATTTAATCTGTATTCTTGATTTCCGGGTCCCTTGCTTATGTTCTAAATTGAAACATGGCAGAATGGCAAGAGGGAAGATATTAAGAACTTTATATATATATATATATCCCAAGACCGCTATGCTCTTTGAAGTTCGGAAATTGACCTTGATAGTATATACTAACAGATATGTAAGAAGTAAACCACAAGCAGCATGTAAAACGAGTTAGGGACTGTTTTATTTTCACGTTGAAAATTGGGTTGCACATATCCCAATATCATTGAGACCACGGTTGGAGGGATAATTTTTACTTTTAAAGAAAAGGAACTGCGAAATCTAATGCTAACTAATTTTAGGTGTCCAATCTAAAGCATGCAGAAGAGTGTTACAATCTTGTATTAATTAAGTATCTGTCCAAAGCACCCCTTATAATGACTTTGATAATATTCTTATCTTGAGTGAGTTTTTTTAGATTAAATTTTACTTAGTATGTTTTCAATATTAATATAATTTCAAATATTTGGTTATATTAATTTAGTTTGCGTCATTAGAATGATTAATATTGGGTTTAGCATCCTAACTCAAAGCTCCTGATATGGGTGCATGCATGCATGTAATCCATTGTGGTAGATGTGACTGATATACTATATTCAAATTGAAAATAAATTAAACATTTGTTCAATTGTTTGTTGTGCGCGTTTGTGTATATATATTAGTGATGATAAAGAGTTATATTTCTCCAGAAACAAAATCTTTTTGCAGATATTTTGTTCTTAGTTAATTCAGTAAATTTGTACTCTAATAAAAAAAACAAATTAAGGTAGCAATATGACAAAAACTAGGCATATGTAAACAAAGTTAGCGTATAATTTCTTCCGCGGCAGTCCAACTTTGTGGTTTAATATTGTTATGGAAGATTTGGTTCTATATTTAAGTGTCCATGACAATATTTGGCTCCTTCTAAGATGCTGGGAATTGCATGTTGGCGGTTTTTGTACTAGATCCCTACCAAAGTAAATCTAGCTAAAAAGAGCATCATCAGTCACTCTTATGCATGTTTTGTAATGAGCAGCAAGAAATATCAATCCATTATAATTTTTGTCGTGAAATTCCTTTAGAAATTTTGTCAAATACAAATTACTCTCTTGGCTGGCCTTTGATTCTTGTTCCTTTATGGTTTGTAATGCACATTTTGCATAACGTTTAGAGTGAAAGGAAGAAAATTAAGGTATATATGGGTATTTACATTGCTAATTATTATTTGGTCTATTTGGCTTTAAAGACAGTGGACAACAAATGGGCATAATGTTAGAATCTGTCAAAATTTGGTCCTGGTCATGGTTGTCTTTGAAGCTGAGAAATCTCAGAATATGCTTAATCTATTTATTACTTAAGCCTCTGTAATATAAGTATGAATATATAGCCCTTGTACTATTTAGGGTCGTGGATCTTTAGCTGACATGAGATCTTAATAGATTAATCTATAATAGAATGGGTTATTTCTGTTAAAGAAATTTTATTAAAGGTAAACAAACTTAGGGTCCTTAGATACACATTTTTCACTTATTGCATAGGTCAATCGACTCATAAATTCTGTATGCTTACTGCATTGTTTAATTAAGTTTGTTAACCATATTGATTCAATTCTGCTGGAGTCTTGAACATGAAAAGAGCAACTTCAATAATTGTGTAATTGCCACCAAATATAATCGTTATTGGAATCCGACCACTAGAAACACGGAAGAAGTAAAATTAAGATAAGGTAACAATAATCATATATATCAACGTTGTAACCATTTTTGTTTCCCCATTGTCGAATTGAACCAGTTGACTTAATTAGAAGAGTCTTGCACGATATAACCCAAGCCATATATCCTCTCAGGGAACATATTTTAAACTAAATTAGTTAGTATTCTGAAGAGTCGACCAGTCTGGACGAAATTAGCCCTACCTCTTGTGCCAATGGTTTTAATACCAAGACCTTCACATACGCAAGGTTAAAATTGTAATTACCAATCAAATTCATAATAAAAAGCACAATTGTTCCTTATTGGTTGATTGGATGCGGCAAGAATAAAGCAAGGAACAAGGAAGTCGTGATACATAGTTAAAACAAAATGAACACACTCGCTTGACTTGATAGTTGAAAATCAGAAAATAAATATTAATTATATTATTAAATCTATTATAAATTATCAAAATTAAAATATAAATATTATAATTTTATTAAAAAGTCATAAAAATATTCAATAAATTTTAATATATTAACTATCCATGTTATATAATTTTATAACTAAAATTTTTGCACTCTCACTTCTATATAAAGAAATATCTTAATAAAAACGTACCCTCCTCTCTCTTTCTTTCTTTCTCTCTCTCTTTATATATATATATAAAAACTCACGACACATTTAATTTATTTATTTTTTTAAATCATACGCCCACATGTTTTATCACACTTATACTATCGACGACGTATGATTATATAGTTGAAATTAACTTCTTCTTTTTTTTTAAGAATAGCATGAAATAACATTTCCATGATAACACAAGAAAAAAGAATAAATAATATTAAAGAATTTCTAGTGTTCTTCGAAAATGTATAAAAATGAATCTGAACCTCTAGTCCAATTCTACCGGTCCTCACCACAGAAGAAACATTCGGTTGTCCATGAATAAAGTGCAATGCTGACTTGTAGATTTAATAAGGAGTATTTTTCGTAGCCATCCTTTCAGTATAGACATTCTCCCGTGCTGTATGGCTTTAATGCAGGGAAAAAAGGGATTAGAATCTGTGTCTCCACTTCATCTACAAATCAACATCTAATTCAGGCCAAAAAGAAAAGAGTGTGTCGAACATTCTGCGGCCCAACTCTTTATTCAGGAATCAAAGAGACTCTCTTCATTTTCAAACCCTTACACCAAAAACAAAAAATATTAAGATCAGAAGTTAAATTAAAAATTTTAATTTACATATTTAACAATATTATTATGTGTCTTTGAATATATATTAAGACATATTAATTAATTAATAAATAATTTATGCCATTTAAACATGTGAAAATTAATATGAGATGTAACTTGTATACAATTATATCCATTTCTCTCGTTTGTTTTTATGTGCACGTGCATCTTAAAAATATTTTATAAAACAAAAAAAAGACAATAAAAGATATCCTACTGTAGATATAAAAAATATAATTTTATTAGTTAATAACTTTATTATGTCGTACAATAATAAAGTAAAATGATTACTCCGATATTTTTTTTATAATCAAAACAAATACTACAGAAAAAATATGCCCCACGAAATAATCCGGAAGCAAAGCTGAATCAACAAAAATATTTAACAAATAAAAATGTCTTGAAAAGAAATAGAAATTAAATCATAAAGAAAATAATAGTAAGATCGAAAAACCCTTAAAATATTTTGTTTAATTAATTATTTTTTCTTTTCTTAGTCTTATCTATACATGATTTATCCTCCTTAATTAATAAATATTAATGTGTTTTATAAATTTTAACAATATATATTAAAATTTTTTACGATTATATCTAATCTTTTAAAATAAAAAAATACCTTTTACAATATAACTAAGTTTTTACATCACATAATTTT